ACGTAAACGCGCACTTTACTATAATAGGAAATCGAACGTAAATTCCATAGTAAATGCCACATTTCCAGCTTGCCTAAACTAAATTAAATGTTGTAGTAAATGCGATATTTCCGCATACCAAAAGTCAAGTAAATTTTGTAGTATATACGATATTTCCAGCCTTATCAAAACTCCAGTAAATTCTGTAGTAAATGCGACATTTCCCGCATACTAAAACTCAAGTAAAWTTCTGTAGAAATGCGATATTTCCCGCATACTAAAGATCAAGCAAATTTTGTAGTAAATGTGATATTTTCTGCATAACAAAAGTAAATTAAATTTTGTAGTATATGCGATATTTCCAGCTTACTAAAACTCCAGTAAAATTCTGTAGAAATGCGATATTTRRCCCATACTAAAACTCAAGTACATTCGGTAGTAAATGCGATGTTTCCCGCATACTAAAGCTCAAGSAAATTTTGTAGTAAATGCGATATTTCCTGCATAACAAATTTAAAATGAATTTCAGAGTATAGATATAACATTTATCATAACAACAAATAATCAATGAGACAATCATGATAATAAAAGAAATGTTTAATGATATTTAAAGTCGACTATCAATTATCAAACAAAATAAAATTAACAGTAAGATCGACAAAAACTAATAACTTTATAACTTTTTCAGGCTAATATATTTTTTATAGTAATTACATTCAATTTATTGTCCACTAGCCGACTTTGCGGGCTTCACCATAACAAACTCCCGGTCCTTATAATATTCTTTTCTAATCGCCCAGGCAGGGAATTGCTTAGGAACGGGCCTTGCGGAAGGTTCTCTAGCCTCAACTCGTTTGAGCGCCATTCGTTTTGACTTCCTGGAGAGCTGATCAAGATGTTTTTGGTCTAACCCACTAAAGATAGAGTTGACCTCGTCCGCTCTCCAGGGAAGTCTGCGCACAAACAGAGTGTTTTGCTCCTCGTCCTCGGATGACACTGATTCTTCTGAGGACATGTAATCTAAAGTCATGACCCTCGTAAATTTCTTCCTTTCGTTATCAGA